CAGTTCTTTGCTTGTAGTGGGTGGTTTGTCAGGAGGTTTAAAAGATACACCAATCGTATCTCCTCTTGCCCCATGCCACGGAACTCCCAATGTACTAGCAGGATCATCCTGATAGTGAAAGACCGTTTTTGAAGTTGCCACCGGAAAACCATCTTCAACGCAGCGAGCCACCAATAATCGTTGTTGGACATGGATATCAACACCATCCTTGACCAACATAAGCAGATCATCCATATAAGGCAAAACCTTACCCACAAAGTGTGGGTCTTCAGAGGCTCGTCGCAATACTTCTTTCACATTGGCCGTAAGCCATGAAGGACTCATGGCCAGGCCAAACGGAAGAACGTTGAAGACGTAACTGGTACCATCCCAATATATACCTAGGTAAGGCTGATCTTCCTTCCGCATTTGAATACGGAGGAAAGCCTTGCTTAGGTCCATAGTTACCCACTTATCACTTTGTCTCCACTGAGTGACAATATCTACTATACGTAACATGTCACACTCAGTTTCACGGAGATAAGGATCTAGAGATTGTCCGTTTATCACGGGTCGCACAGGAGTAGTAGGATGACCCACCCTTATCACAGGGTGATGAAACAAAAAATGCTTCACCTCCTCATTGTCGACAGGACGGATAAACCCATTATCAAGCCATTGCTTGAACTGGTCACTATAAGCATCCACCAGTTCTTGGCCACCTCTTCTCTTTAGCGAATACTCCAACCTCTTAGCTCTCTTGACCGCAGCCTTGAAAGCCTTGTGGGGCCTTTGGGACGATCTCCATTCCAATGATGCCATCCTACCCTCATAGGTTTTGGACTCATAGACCTTAGTGGCATTAATCTCATCGGCGACATCAGCCATTTGTGACTTTACATGGTCACAATGAATAACCACTCGATGAGGATCTTCCACCATAACCTTATTGACTTGAGACGGGTCAGTCAACAAGCAATCCTTTTCATGATGGCAGTTAATCATCTTCCCGATAACGAAGCCGAAGTCTTCAAACTGATCTCTACCAATGAGAACCTTGTCCTTCTTGATAGTCTTTAGTATGATAAACCTTGCTTCTCTACCAGATTGAACATATTGGCCAACACCATCAACCGGCTTGGTCAATTGCTGAACCATACAATGCCATGCGTGCGT